ATTACAAACTCACAGTAAACAGAGCATCCAGTGTGGAACAATATCCTATTCCTAAAGTGGACGATTTGTTTGCACAGTTAGCTGGAGGGCAGAAATTCTCAAAGCTGGACATGAGCCACGCGTATCAGCAGATCATGCTTGACCAAAGTGCCAAGAAATATGTCACTATCAATACACACAAAGGACTGTACACTTACTGTAGCCTACCATTCGGAGTAGCGTCGAGCCCAGCCATCTTCCAACGCACTATGGAAGGAATCTTGCAAAACATGCCACACGTCACAGTTTATTTGGATGACATTTTAGTCACAGGGACTAGTGAGGAAGAACATCTGAGAAACCTGGAAGAGGTATTGTCTCGGCTAGAAAGAAGTGGGCTGAGGTTGAAACGCAGCAAGTGTGAGTTCCTTGGAGAGGAGGTGGTATTTCTTGGCCACAAAATCAGTGCCGCAGGTGTGCATCCAGTCGCAGAAAAAGTCAAAGCGATCCAGGAAGCCCCCACACCGCAGTCTGTGAGTGAACTGAAGGCTTATTTAGGCCTGTTGAACTATTATCATAAGTTCCTGCCTAGTCTATCCACTTTGTTAGCACCATTACATGCACTGTTGAGGAAGGAGACAAAATGGGCATGGGGCTCTGAACAAAAAGAAGCCTTCGCAAAGTCAAAAAACCTTCTGCAGTCCTCAGCCATTCTAGTGCATTATGACATAAAGAAACCGATCACTCTGGCTTGTGACGCTTCCCCATACGGGGTTGGAGCCGTGTTGTCGCACATGATGGAGGATGGCACAGAGCGGCCGATCGGATTTGTGTCACGAACACTGAATGCAGCTGAGAAGAATTACTCCCAATTAGAGAAGGAAGGTCTAGCTGTCGTTTTTGGAGTAAAGAAATTCCACACATACTTGTATGGGAGGCAGTTCACCATTGTAACGGATCACAAACCGTTGATTTCATTATTTAATGAACTGCGAGAAGTGCCACAAATGGCATCGCCACGTACAGAGATGGGCTGTGACACTGTGTGGATATGAATACACCATTGTATACAAAGCTGGCAAGGAACATCAAAATGCGGATGGACTAAGCAGACTGCCGTTAACGGAGAAAGGAATAGAGACTCAAGAGGAGGAAGAAAGAGTACTTTTGCTTGAAGAAAATGATGTGCCCCTTGTCAAAGCAGAACAAGTGAGAAAACAGACAAAGATGCAGTTTTAACTCGAGTGAGAGAGTATGTGCTCAGAGGATGGCCAAAGAGAATGGACGAGTCCGTTTTTGGAGCATATACTAAGAAACGAGATGAACTCAGTGTACAGGGAGGTTGTGTTCTGTGGGGAGCAGAAACAATTACACATCAATCACCCTGGAATAACCCGAATGAAAGGTTTGGCACGAAGTTACATGTGGTGGCCACAGATGGACGCGGAAATAGAAGGCATGGTAAAAACTTGTGCCACATGTCAAGAGAATAGGAATTCTCCCCCCTGTGCACCTTTACATCCATAGGAGATGCCAAACCTGCCATGGAGACGAATCCACATTGATTATGCTGGTCCGTGGCTAGGGAGAATGTTCTTAATCTTAGTGGATGCCTACTCTAAATGGCTAGAGGTGTACCCGTTACATAAGTCTACCTCTACTGTAACCATTCAATGCCTGAGACAAAGTTTCAGCCAACATGGGATACCTGAAATGGTGGTGTCGGATAATGGCAGCAGTTTCACAAGTGCAGAGTTCCAAGAGTTTATGACCCGAAATGGCATCAAACACATCACCACAGCACCGTATCACGCAGCGTCTAATGGACTGGCTGAACGGGCGGTGCAGACGTTCAAAAGTCTGATGAAAAAGAGCACAGGAGATTCCATTGAGACAAAGCTTGCTAGAGCATTGTTCAGTTACAGGATCACACCACAGTCGACTACTGGGAAATCTCCTGCGGAACTGTTGTGTGGAAGAAAGCTAAGGTCTACCTTGGATCTCATCCATCCTGATTTTAAAAGTCAAGTGCAGGAAAAACAGATGAAACAAAAATTTTACCATGATCGACATGCTAGGGAGAGACTTGTGACTGAAGGTGACCAAGTGTACACTAAGAACTTTGGATCAGGGCCTATCTGGGTTCCTGGGACAGTTCAGAAACAGACGGGACCGGTGTCTTGTACGGTTGCACTTGGAAATGGCCAGATAGTGCGCAGGCACATAGATCAAGTGAGGAACAGGCATGTTGGGCCTACAGAGGAAACTCTGGTGTTGGAGGAACAATCAGGGAAAGAGGGGGAAGAGTTAACATCAATCGTGGGTGTCACAATCTCCAAAGACACTAATGTGGAGCAGACAGAGGAAACGACCAAGGAGGTGTTAAGGTCAGAAAATCCTGTGGTGAAAGACAATGTAGAGTTAAGGAGGTCGACGAGACCGAAGAAGACTCCGAGATACTTACAGGATTTTGAGTAGTTAGAAGTGAGTTCCCCAGCCACAGGGCAAGAATGCGTCCTGGAACTCACTGGGACGGAGGTAGTCCACCCAAAGTCCCTAGTTTATGTTGTAAATGCACACATGTTATGGTTTTGTGTGGTTTTCTTGCATATTACTACTTGGTCAAATTTACAAAAGTTATAAACGTGATATATTGTAAAGAGTAATGTAAATACTATTGGAAGCTAGTGTTATCTGGGAAACGGGGATGTAGTAAATGGGATGCTATAGTCAAGGTTGTCCACTAGAGGGCGGCATGGGTTTGCATATGGGTTACCTCTGGTGATGCACGGGTATAGAGAGCAGTGGGTGTGTTAGTCTGTGATCTGCTGAGCCGGTGTTAAGAGGCACGTTGTCCGCTCCCCAGCTAGAATTTTTTTGTTCTAAAAATGTTCTGAGAACATTACCATGCATTGTTCTAATAATGTTTTCAGCGGGTAGTTTTCTTTTTGTTCCCAGAATGTTCTCTTAAAAGTTCTAATAACATTCTTTAAAAACATTCTAAAAATGTTTAATGCTAACATTGTTAGAACATTATTCCCTAATGTTCTTATAACATTTTCAGCGGGTAGTTTTCTTTTTGTTCCCAGAATGTTCTCTTAAAAGTTCTAATAACATTCTGTAAAAACATTCTAAAAATGTTTAATGCTAACATTGTTAGAACATTATTCCCTAATGTTCTTATAACATTTTCAGCGGGTAGTTTTATTTTTGTTCCCAGAATGATCTCTTAAAAGATGGCATAACATTCTCTAAGAACACTCTAAAAATGTTTTGTGATGACCTTCTATAAAGGTTTAATCATAACACTTTTAGAACATTACATCCCCTAACATTCTTATAAAGTTTTTAGCCGGAAGTTTTATTTTTGTTCCCAAAATGTTGTCTTAAACAAAAAAAATGCTTAGCTATAACATTGTTAAAACATACAATTTTATTAATCTCAAAATTAAAACATCAAAATCTAACAGGTTTATAAATGGCATCCACATAAATTATTAGAAGTTCTGCGTACAGTAAATGCCCAACATTACATGAAGAACTCAGTAAAGTCACTCATGCGTCTTGACTGCTGTGTTTGCTCAGAGCGCTCATCATCAGTCTTTGCTTGTCTTGGTTCTTCAGAAGAGTAATCCAGTCATCTGTATTAAGATTAGGTGTTCTACTGTTCTTCTCTTCTAGTTGTCGCTGCTCGCCCAGTTAGCAGCATTGAGCTCTGTTCTCTGTGTGCATGGTAGTTTTTCCTCATAGCCTATACAAGAAGATCATGCAAAAGTGTAAACAGAAAGAATACAAATACATACATATTAAGATCACAAGCAATATTGACATTGACAACTTTCAAAATTAGCCAGCCTAATTAGTAATCAGAAATTATGTAAAGACTAATTTATTTAAAGTATAAATATGATACCTTATGAGTATCTTTTTTTTCTGTAATTTAAAACATATACTTAATCCATTATATACATGTTAATAACACAACTAGAGGCTAAATTATGTGAACAAACTATGATGTTGGCTTGAGAAGCCTGAACCTCGAACCAAGACTGGAACCCAGGTCGCCCTGAGCACAGCTCCAGCATCACAGCGCTCGTTGCCCACTGGGCTATTGATTAATTCAAAAGGCTGATCCATCAGCAATGAAACATTTAATTTTATTAAATAATTAATTCAAGTTAAGACAAATTAGTTGGACAGCAGCAATTAACATTTTGTCAAAAAATCATGATTCTCAATTTACCAGAATCATGCAACTTTATTCTTTTATTATATTAATTTGAATATTTGTATTAATTTGTAAAAAAAATAAAAATAAAAAATATATATATGTATGTAATTGTATTTTATAATACTGTCACATCTTACATTTGCTCTGATGTTCTGAGTTACCAGCAAGTAACTGATCAACCTTGTAATGTATACCCTTTCTCATTAATTGGCATACATTTTTTTCCCCCAGCTTTTTTAAAGTTTGATGTCCCAAATGTACCCGACAATGTGAAGGTTGTTGATGAATCGGGGACTGAGGTGGATGAGGATGTTTTTGAGGATCTAGTTAAAGATCCCTCGGTTGGTGTTCTCACCATAAAACATGTTGCAGGTTTGCAAATTTTTTTATTTACTTTCTATAAATTTTCTCAGTGCTTGCTTATTAGTATCATAAAGATTTTGACCACCCTATATTCAACTAGACTTGGAATCTGCCTCTCCACAAGCCTCTCCTGTGCAGTTAAATGTGTCACTGTCTTCATCAATCGACTCCACTGACTCACAGGATACAGTAATAATTGAAGAAAGCTCTTCAAGTAAAAGAACGAGACTAGATGATGAAGCTAAAAAGGTGGGCATCAAAGTAGTTCTTTATACATTTTGGGGGGGTTGGGGAAAGACTGTTAAAATTCATCAATCTGAAATAATAGCCTTTTTTTTATTACATATTTTTTTTCAGGTAATGTTTTGTACTTTAACATGCCATATTTATGTTTTTTTTTTAAATTGGTGGAATCCATTCTTGTCCATAAACCTGGTGGAGAGCATATAATAAATGAATACAACCGATTTAAGACTTTGGGAGATGAAACGAGGAGGAAAATGGTGAACATCCTGGCAGCTGACATGACAGAAAAGAATGGGTAATCTGCATATCTTTAACTGGTGTATATGGTCTCTCAATGTAGTTCCATAATTTGTTTTTTTTTAACCTGTGCTAAAGATAGATTATTTATTTATTATACAGTACATCACCACCAAGGCAGGTTAAAGAAAAATATGCCAGAGGAATTGTCTCTTTGTTCCCTTACCTCAGTGACCCCTTGTCCAAAAAAGGCTATGTAAGTATCACACCATTTTTGAATTTTAATTCTGTGTTGACATGTCTTAAATGCTGATGATCACACACAATACAGGTGGTGTATTTTGCTCTTGAATTAAGACTTTTTCTCTTTATGTATTTTTGTCTTTCTAAGGAGCATTACTATGATGGTGAGAGTGGCACTGGGTACTTGGCATGGAGAATCAAAACTATACAAAGAGGCCTGGCTAAAGAACGAAGAGCATCATTTGATGGTACAAAATGAAATTCAGAAATCACCCTTTTTGCTTTTTTTTTCCATAGCTCATTATGCCATCTATCACAGTTTGGAGTTTTGTTGCTATTGAGTTGCCTTAACTGACATTTTAATTTGTATAAAGATGAACATCTTTTACTTTTTTTTTTTTTTTTTTTACTCCATTCTTCTTTCTTTTCGGTAGGAAGTGGTTCATCCCAGTCATTCTGCTCAGCTGAGATTTCACGAAGGAGAGCTTTTCCCTGCATTGTTATAGGAGCCACAAATCCTAAAGGGTCAAACAAACTGTTGACTGTGGCCAAAACACCTCTCTTAGTGTATGGTCTATCCTCTTGAGACACTTTGAATGTGAAACTGTCTGTTTCCAGGTTCCACAAGACCCCCAAGCTGCGCTGTAAGGGAGATCATCTGACGTGAGGTCCAAATCCTTCAGATCCTTGGCCCTCTCATCAGCTGGAAAAGCTTCCATAACCTTGTGACTGTTGGATGCTATCTTGTGCAATTTCAGGTTGGAGTCAGCTAGCATCTTCTGTGATCTTGTTAGGATGTCAATTGCTTCTTCAGGGGTTGGTGCAGATGCAAGTCCATCATCAACATAAAAATGTCTTACAACAAACTGCTTGGCATCAGCGCCATGTTCTCTCTCACCCTCTGCTGCAGCGCGCCTCATGCAATAAATAGCCACGGCTGGTGAGGGGCTATTTCCAAATACATGGACCTTCATTCTGTAGTCCCTCACCTTCTTGCTGAGATTGTTCTCTTCATACCAAAGGAACCTGAGGTAGTCTCTGTGGTCTTCGTATACAACAAAACTGAAGGGTTGGTCAAAATCCCTTGCCTCTTCAAATACATATATAATCATATATCCTTTTGAATGGTTATATACTTCCTTTATAAAAATCAATAATCAAATATATTCATTATCACATAATAATTTTTATATTCTTTGTGCTTGTGAAATTATATTTTCTTAAATGCATGTGATCTAAATAACCAGTTTCTTTTAGGTGCATTCCAATCTTACTTTGAGATTGCACGTAGTACACGCAGGACACGAAGGCCACGTAACCCACAAGGCCGTTTGTCTCTTTCTCTGGTATCAGTAGAGGGTCCTAAAGGCAGCGTGGACACATATGATTCTTCGCTGGACATATGGTCAAGCTATATTGAGTGTTACTATCAAACTTTAATTGTTGTATTAAAATGTATTCCTTCCAGTATATTTCCTTCCTTGGGAGTAAATGCCAGTGATCTGTTTTTCTCCCAAACGAGTGAATGTTTTAGCATTATGTTTTGGTATACTTAACTGATAATAAGGAGCTCAGACTCTCTTCAGCCTTGATGGGAGCTGTTATTTGCTAGTGTCTGTTATTTGTGTGTGTGTGCGTATGACATTCTATGTAGGTTCTGGACGGTCGGACCAGACACCCCGGCGCCCTTCTCTAACCTGCGAGGCCACCACAGACCTAAATCCAATGAGTGGACGACAACTATCGTGACTAATGGCGATAGGCACCCCTATCTCCTCACATGTGTTAAATTGTTTAGGCTTTCATGTTTCTTAGCCAATGAGAATCATTCAACCTGTAAGCAATGACGTAGCTTAGACCTTGGAAATGGTATAACTGCTGTGATCTTTGTAACTGTAAGCGGGGCGGCCTACGAACTCTTGTGTGAGTCTTGAAGCTGACTTCTGCTGATGAAAATGCAAACTATCTTCAGTAAAACTTTTCTTTAATTTTTTATAATTCTGACTCCGGGTCTTCATTCTTCATATCTGGTTCTGGGTCTTTGACTGTATACCCCTAACAAAACAATAAAACATTTGCTGTATATCAGCTGTGAATGCAATGGATTCTTTTCTGAAACGTAGAAGAACCCCCAAAAGGCTGTTATTCAAATCAGGACCACTAAGCAGCACTTTGTTTAAGGACACTCCTTCATATTCAGCACTTGAATCAAATACCACTCTTAGCTGGTCAGGTTTCTTAGGGTGATATACGCCAAATGAAGGTAAGTACCAGTGTTCTTTATGTTTCTTCAGTGGAGGAGCAGGCTCTGAATGCTCGTTTTCTAACATTTTCTGCATGAAGTCAATGTACTGCTTCTTCATGTCAGGTTTTCTGTCCAGTGTTTTCCTGAGAGAATAAAGACGCGTCATTGCTTGCTCTGTTACTTGGAAGGCACTGTCTGGTGGAGCGAAATGGTAATGGCGCCACCCAGCTGTTTGCTTCATTTTGATCAGAAAAACCTGATCATCCACTGAAAACGCTGATTTTTCATCTTCTCTGGTTCTTTCAAAAACAGCAGATCCCAACATGTCTATACTACCACTATGGCACTCTTACTGTGTACAAGAGGCCGGAGAACAGCCGAGATGTGATGACTGACTGAGACTCTCCTTCACTAAGATTTTGTTTGGGCATGGGCTAAGAAAAGATGTGCGGCCGTTACTGAGCACATGTGTTTTCAGGACATTAACACTTGATGGCTTGTGAGTTGTTCCTAGGCAGATGTCGCCCACGATGACCCATCCCAGGTCCAGCCTTTGCGCATAAGGAGCACTGTGGGGTCCGTTAATTTGCTCTCTGACCTTGTGCACCCGCAGGATATCTCTTCCCAAGAGTATGAGGATGGGAGCGTCTGGATCCACAGGAGGAATCCTCTCAGCAACTCGCTGCAGGTGGGGATGACAACGTGCCACCTTAGGAGATGGGATCTCTGTGCGGTCATCAGGAATCATGTCACATTCAATTAAACTTGGTAGTGATAGTTGTATTTTGCCATCCATGGATTCGATCATCAAGTTTATAGCTCTTCTGCCCATTGCTTTGGTTACCCCTGAACAAGTTTTCAGTGTGTATGGGTCTGATGTGGTTGTTATGTTAAAAAGATTAAAGAATTCTGATTTAGCGAGTGACTTATTACTCTGTTCGTCTAACACCGCATACATTTTCTTTGCTTCCTCTCTTCTTCCAGCAGGATACACTATCACTGGACTGATTTTGGAGCAGGAATGTAGACCATCTGAATTGCCGCATATCTCTGTGCATTTGGATGTCACTGGTGTCAAAGCATTTCCATTCACCTCCCTGCCATCATCTTTGTCAGCTTCTTGGCTCCCTGTTGTAGTGGGTGGAGGACCAGGATGCAGTGCTGAGACGTGTTTCTCACTGTTACACTCTAGACATTTAAGTGTCACTCTGCAGTCTTTTGCCATATGCTGTACTGACCCACAACATCTGAAACAAATACGGTTCTCTTTCAGAAATGATTTTCTTTCATCAATATGTTTAGCTCTGAAGCTCCTGCATTTTTTTAGTGGGTGGGGCTTTTTATGTATGGGACATAACTTATCAGGACTTTCCATAATGTTCTCACCAGAGCTACACTGGATAGTCATAGAATCTTGTGGAACTTCTGTTTTGTGCACAGTTACAGAAGCTCTGTTGCCACTTCTTGTGTATTTCTCAGTTTTCAAGCTCTGGGTGCTGGAGGATGTAAAGGCAAAACTGGGGTCGTTTTTCACTCGTGCCTGTTGTCTTACAAAGCTGGAGAAGAAACGAAAAGGTGGGAATGCGACTCCATTGTCATCCTTATATTTGGATCCTGTGGCAACCCATCTCTCTTGCAAGCTGTAAGGTAATTTCTCCACGATGGGATTTACTCCACGAGCTGTGTCCAAATATGACAGGCCAGGTAAATATCCTCCCTCTTTTGCACACTCTATCTCCTGAAGAATGTCACCTAACTCCCTTAGCCTGACATTATCTCTGTTGGTGAGTTTAGGGAAATCTTCAACCTTTTTCAGCAGAGCATGTTCTACTGCTTCTGATGACCCATAACATTCTTCTAGTCTTTGCCAGACTAAGTTGAGTGCTGCTGTTGGGTTGAACACATGTACAGAGCGAATGCTCTTTGCCTGCTCTGCAGACTCCTCACCAAGCCATTTAGTTATCAAATCCAGTTCTTCCCTCGATGAAAGGTTGAGATCTTGGATGGCACTTTGGAATGATGCCTTCCATGCCCAGTAATTCTCAGGGCGGTCGTCAAATTTCAGGAGACCTGCACTCAACATTTCCCTGCGAATAAGGTATTTTGTTACGTCTTGCACACCTTGAGTGTCGGATAAAGGCTTCCCTTGAGGATGAAATGACTCTCTTGCAGGTTCTTTCTTTCTAAATAATCTATCTATCTTTTATCTTTCTAACTAATCTATCTTTCTTTCTAACTAATCTGTTTTTTTCTTTCTAACTAATCTTTCTTTCTTTCTTTCTAACTAATCTATCTTTCTTTCTAACTAATCTATCCATCTTTCTTTCTAACTAATCTATCGTTCTTTCTTTCTATCTAATCTATCTATCTTTCTTTCTAACTAATCTTTCTTTCTTTCTAACTAATCTATCTTTCTTTCTAACTAATCTATCTTTCTTTCTCACTAATCTATCTTTTTTTCATTCTAACAAATCTATCTATCTTTCTTTCTAACTAATCTATCTTTCTTTTTTCTAACTAATCTTTCTTTCTTTCTAACCAATCTATCTATCTTTCTTTCTAACTAATATTTCTTTCTAACTAATCTATCTTTCTTTCTAACTAATCTATCTTTCTTTCTTACTAATCTTTCTTTCTTTCTAACTAATCTATCTTCTTTCTTTCTTTCTTTCTTTCTTTCTTTCTTTCTAACTAATCTTTCTTCTTTCTTTCTTTCTAACTAATCTTTCTTCTTTCTTTCTTTCTTTCTTTCTTTCTTTCTTTCTAATCTTTCTTCTTTCTTACTTTCTAACTAATCTTTCTTCTTTCTTTCTTTCTTTCTTTCTTTCTTTCTTTCTTTCTTTCTTTCTTTCTTTCTTTCTTTCTTTCTAACTAATATTTCTTCTTTCTTTCTTTCTTTCTTTCTTTCTAACTAATCTTTCTTCTTTCTTTCTTTCTTTCTTTCTTTCTAACTAATCTTTCTTCTTTCTTTCTTTCTAACTAATCTTTCTTCTTTCTTTCTTTCTTTCTCTCTTTCTAACTAATCTTTCTTCCTTTTTTTAGCTAATCTTTCTTTCTAACTAATCTTTCTTCTTTTTTTCTTTCTTTCTTTCTTTCTAACTACTCTTTCTTCTTTTTTTCTTTCTTTCTTTCTTTCTAACTAATCTTTCTTTCTTTCTTTCTTTCTTTCTAGCTAATCTTTCTTCTTTCTTTCTTTCTAACTAATCTTTCTTTCTTTCTTTCTTTCTTTCTTTCTTTCTAGCTAATCTTTCTTCTTTCTTTCTTTCTAACTAATCTTTCTTTCTTTCTTTCTTTCTTTCTTTCTTTCTTTCTTTCTTTCTTTCTAGCTAATCTTTCTTCTTTCTTTCTTTCTAACTAATCTTTCTTTCTTTCTAGCTAATCTTTCTTCTTTCTTTCTTTCTAACTAATCTTTCTTCTTTCTTTCTTTCTTTCTTTCTTTCTTTCTTTCTTTCTTTCTTTCTAATTAATTTTTCTTTCTTTCTTTCTTTCTTTCTTTATTTCTTTCTTTCTAACTAATCTTTCTTCTTTCTTTCTTTCTTTCTTTCTAACTAATCTTTCTTCTTTCTTTCTTTCTTTCTTTCTTTCTTTCTTTCTTTCTTTCTTTCTTTCTTTCTTTCTAGCTAATCTTTCTTCTTTCTTTCTTTCTTTCTAACTAATATTTCGTCTTTCTTTCTAACTAATATTTCTTCTTTCTTTCTTTCTTTCTTTCTTTTTAACTAATCTTCTTTCTTTCTTTCTAACTAATCTTTCTTCTTTCTTTCTTTCTTTCTTTCTTTCTTTCTTTCTTTCTAACTAATCTTTCTTCTTTCTTTCTTTCTTTCTTTCTAACTAATCTTTCTTTCTTTCTTTCTAACTAATCTTTCTTCTTTCTTTCTGTCTTTCTTTCTTTCTTTCTAGCTAATCTTTCTTCTTTCTTTCTTTCTTTCTTTCTTTCTTTCTTTCTAACTAATCTTTCTTCTTTCTTTCTTTCTTTCTTTCTTTCTTTCTTTCTAACTAATCTTTCTTCTTTCTTTCTTTCTTTCTTTCTTTCTAACTAATCTTTCTTTCTTTCTTTCTAACTAATCTTTCTTCTTTCTTTCTGTCTTTCTTTCTTTCTTTCTAGCTAATCTTTCTTCTTTCTTTCTAACTAATCTTTCTTCTTTCTTTCTTTCTTTCTTTCTTTCTTTCTTTCTTTCTTTCTTTCTTTCTTTCTTTCTTTCTAACTAATCTTTCTTCTTTCTTTCTTTCTTTCTTTCTTTCTAACTAATCTTTCTTCTTTCTTTCTTTCTTTCTTTCTTTCTAACTAATCTTTCTTCTTTCTTTCTTTCTTTCTTTCTTTCTTTCTTTCTAACTAATCTTTCTTTCTTTCTTTTTAACTAATCTTTCTTCTTTCTTTCTTTCTTTCTTTCTTTCTAATCTTTCTTCTTTCTTTCTTTCTTTCTTTCTAACTAATCTTTCTTTCTTTCTTTCTTTCTTTCTTTCTAACTAATCTTTCTTTCTTTCTTTCTTTCTTTCTTTCTTTCTAGCTAATCTTTCTTCTTTCTTTCTTTCTAACTAATCTTTCTTTCTTTCTTTCTTTCTTTCTTTCTAGCTAATCTTTCTTCTTTCTTTCTTTCTAACTAATCTTTCTTTCTTTCTAGCTAATCTTTCTTCTTTCTTTCTTTCTAACTAATCTTTCTTCTTTCTTTCTTTCTTTCTTTCTTTCTTTCTTTCTTTCTTTCTTTCTTTCAAATTCATTTTTCTTTCTTTCTTTCTTTCTTTCTTTCTAACTAATCTTTCTTCTTTCTTTCTTTCTTTCTTTCTAACTAATCTTTCTTCTTTCTTTCTTTCTTTCTTTCTTTCTTTCTTTCTTTCTTTCTTTCTAACTAATCTTTCTTCTTTCTTTCTTTCTTTCTTTCTTTCTTTCTAACTAATCTTTCTTTCTTTTTAACTAATCTTTCTTCTTTCTTTCTTTCTTTCTTTCTTTCTTTTTTTCTT